CTCTAAAATGACTTCTTCTAAAATGACCTCTAAAATGACAAAATGATTTTTCATTATAAGCCGTATGAAAAAGCGTCCATTAATCAAACTTTTTATTTATTCAAATTTCAGTAAATATCGAAGCGTTCATAAAAATTTTCCGATTATTAAATAATTGAGTTTATCAGTAATTTTATGTATAACTTTAAAAGCATTAACTTTGTCGAAAGTTCTTAGTTAATCGACAAATCAATCACTTATCACTTCTCATGAATTCCTCAAAGTTACTTTTCAAACCAAAATCCATTCGACATTTATTACCACTTCTTAGGATAAAATTTTTCGTGATTTTAGTTTTTGATTTCAGCAAAAAAAAATTATTTAAATTTAAGGATAAAAACCCTTAAATTAAAGCAACAAATAAATATTAATAAAATATATTTATACATTTTAAAGATAATATCTATTTTAGGATATATCCAAAGAGTACAATACAAATGATGTCATTTTTAGCATTACAATATTATTATTAGAATATTATTTTTATATTCAATTCATACTGAAATATCACAATAAAAATAGTTTATAGAAAAAAAATTCAAATTAAAATTATTTACTTTTAAAATTAAGTCTTGCAATCGTAGTCTAATTAATGAAGATTTGCAAAAATTATTTGATTATTAAGTTAATAAATTAATAATTCAAAATTATTGTTTACTTAATAAACATTAAATTTAATAACTTAATTTTGGTTTATTTCATTTCCCTTAATTTTACTTTCAATTTTATTTCAGTATTGAATTAGAATGGATATTAATATTTTCATTATTTGCTTTTGAATTCGTTACTTTGAATAATTCATTTCCACTTTTCATTTCTTTTATTAAATATCATTTTAGGACTAATTAATTTTCCAAGCAATAAAATAATTATGCAATTATATCGAAGTAAAACAAATTCAAATAATTAATTTAAATTAATTTTCATACAAGCATTTTTTCTTTACTAATGTTATAACATTTTGAAAATATGAAATTAGAAGTTTTCAAGTGTTATTCATAAAGCTGGTATGTATCCGTTTTTTTCATTTTCAAACTTCAAACATTTGCCGAAACTTGAAATATTCGATACTACGCATTTACATATATAATTTAGAATTGAGGCAAAAAGATATTTGTCTCAAAAAAAAAAAACAAACAAATCAAACTTTTACCAAAATATTACCACCCACTATGAATGAGCTATGTTTTTCCCTCTTTAAGAGATCTGGAAAATATAGGAAAAGATTAATTTCTTTTATCGATTATGATAAAGTTGAAAATGTAAAAAATTTTGGAATGGATTTCTTTTTTTTTTTGAAACTTATGAAAATGAAAGTAATTAAGGATGAATGTAATTATAAATATATGGTATAGTTTAGTTGGTAATAATGAAAATTAAACAAAAAAACAAAAAAGCTATTATCATCAATTTAGGGAAGAAATGGTTGTTGCAAATGAATAAAGCTTATGAATGGAAGTTAAAAAAAATAATTTTAAATTATATAAGCATAATTTTGTAGTGATTAAATCCGATGATCAGTTCTATTTAAATATTTCAATATGATCTTATTCGTATTATTCAAAAATTTTACTTTTTCTTCTTGACGATTTTTATCACTAAGAGTTATCATCATCCTTCGTTGACCACTTATTCTTTTTCCTCTCTTCTTTCCTTATATGCGTGTGGATATTATTTGTCCGATAGTAATAATGATCGTTGATAAAGAAGTTTTACGAAGTTTCGTTCAATTTCGATATTTAAGCTGCAATGTCTTTCTTAAAAATGACATATTGGATATTTGAATTTTTGATCGTTCTCAAAAATGATCGATGAGATTGAGGAAAAGTTGTGAAAACGACTATTTATCGTTAGTGATTGACTTCTCATCAAAAATAATATAAATTAAAAATGCTAACAGTATAAGATTTAAAAAGTAAAAAAATGAAAAATAAAAATTGAAGTGCAAAAATATTTTATCATTCAGAATACGAAGAATGGCAAAGCATCGATAAATTGTAGAAATATCTAAATCTGTTGCTTATCTTGATGATATCTGATGATAAAGTAATGAGTAGTAATGAGTATTATCAAATTATCAATCTGCAATTAATTTAGCAAAAAATTTTCAACAAATTACAACAAGAAATTTAGTACCTACTTACTCTTAATAGATTGTTATTTGATTTTTATTAGAACTATTGAGGAAGCTTTTACCGAACGTATAATTTGATATTATTTATGTACCAAGTAAATTTATAAATAAAAATATCCGGAAAACCGGAATTGATAGATAAGAAAATGCGAAATTTGGTTATAAATAAGAGAAAGAAATAAGAAAGTGAGAAAAAATTTGCAATGAGCCAAAATGCCCCCATTTAGCCACTATAGTTAAAGTCAAAAAAGTAAACATTGAGTGAAATTGGCCAATAAAAAGAGCCAATCCTTTTTTTTCTCTCTCTCTCACTTAAAATAATGTTTTTGGATCAAAAAGGATAAGCAAAGTTTAGAAGAGAATGAAAAAGTGAATGGGAAGAGAAATAAACAAGCAAAATTGTTTTGATTTGAACTAATTAAAAATTACTCAATTAAAAAAGAAAAATAAAATTTATTGAAATTTAAAATAAGACAAAATTCATTTGACCTCTATAGTTAAAGTTAAAAGAGTAAACAATTTTCTGAGGAGATTGTAAATGCAACAATTTAACCTCTCCATATAATTTTATCGCAATGCTGGTGAAATTTCATCGCAATACTGGCGAAATTTCATCGCAATGCTGGTGAAATTTCATCGCAATACTGGCGAAATTTCATCGCAATGTTGGCGAAATTTCATCGCAATGCTGGCAAAATTTCATCGCAGTACTGCCGAAATATTCCAACAATACTTATAAGTGAACGTTTGTTTATCTCTGCTTATTAGTATCAAAAATTTTGTTTCACTGACCATAACACTATTTATAAATAAGTGGACATTAGAAGAACTAGAACTTTTCTGTTTTACATATTATCTTTTGCTAGTGAAATTATCAAACGATTATGTTGGATATCTCACATTATTTGACACTCAACATTTTCTATCGTTGATATAATTGTGTGATCTTTGCAAGATTTAAGACTTAATTAAATAATTTATAAATTATAAATTCATTTAAAATTATAAATTAAAAGAATTATAAATTCTCAAAAAAAGAAGAGGAAAATGGATACCAATTGTGTAACAGTAACAATTTTGTAACCTTTCTTGATAATATTTCGATACATTTTTATATCATTAACAAAATACTTCCATGATATCTATAAATAATATTATGACATGATAGTAAAAATTATAATCATAATCATTTCACAATTAAATTACGATTTGTAGTTCTTATGATAGAAATTGATATGGATTATAATAATGATAATAAAGTATCGTACTATGTTTAGTATTACTGATTACATCTTCATTGCTATCAAAATAAGATATATTTGTTATGATAATATATTTTATATGATAATGAATGTTTGTTAGATTAAACGATTTATTTGTTTAGTAGCTAATAGAGAATAATTTAACGAAATATTACGAAAAATCATTAACGGCGCTTTTTTTCATCTTGAAGATCGATAGGAAGAATGGAAGAAGTATTTATTGTTTCAGTTTGAAGCACTCTTAAGTATACAGCATTATAATTATGATACATATCATTGTTTGAATAGTGACACATACACCTGTAAGGGACATGTAGAAGTTAAGAATGAAAATGTTTTTGCATAACGAATGATTTGAACTTTAATCATACGATTGTATCACTCATCTTTCTATTAACCTTTCATATCACTCCATCCTTTTACTCTTCTTTAATTCTCTGAAGTAATCTTAAGATTGCGTGACGGTTATCTTTTGATGCTACTATAGATCTCTATCATTTAAGCATTCAAACTTTTCAAATTATATCTTAATGATAAGCTCAAAAAATTTGATGATGATTAATTACTTCATTTCTCGTCCATTATTGTTCAACCTTTGAACTTTTAAAAATTTTTAATAAAAAAGGAAAAAAATCAAAATGATAGAATAAAAGCATTTTTAATTATTAAATGATCACTTTTAATACAATACTCAAATTGAAACAAAAAATTATAAAATTTAAATTTTAAAAGTTCAAAGGTGAAATTAATGAATGAATAATTGAATAATGTGTAAATATAATAAAAATTGAAATCTTTGGTGCCTTTTTATGATTTGAGTAAATTTTTGCTTTGTAAAATATCGGTGGTTTGTAAACGTTATCATTCATTGTGCATTGCTTTTAAAATGATAAAATGTTTGTTAACTTATCTAATTTTACTTACACTTTTTCGCTTAATTCATTCTGATATCGTTATTGACAGTCTTCGTGAATGGAACAAATTATGAATGTTTTACCATTTCGATTTTTTAGTCCTGATAAATTATACCAATTTTAAAATTGACACTGATAAGAAACTAATAATGATAATAAAAAATAAGAAAACATGGCACCAATCAATATTGCTATCTGAAACTTTTAATGTAACAATTCACGGATATATACCAAATTTCTTGGATATTCATCGCAGTAATTGTTATCAATTGAGTATTCAAATAGAGTATTGAAATTTTAGTTAATGAATTCAAATTATTAAAATTGCATGGAATTGCATAATTTGCATGAAATTATCACCATAATCTTTTAAGTCTTAAATCTTAAACGCATAGTCAATATGAATTAATCAAAAGCACGTGTGAATCGGTTGCTTCTTGTTTCTTGCAAGTTTTGAAATTGTGAACGTTGTAGTATCATGCTGAAATTTTAGCACAAGATAGAAATGAATTAAAAGAAAAGAATTCAACATTTTATGATTAATAAATTATTTGATCAGAAATAATGATAACTCTTTATTTCGGTTTTTATCTTTTGATTAAAAATATTTTATTGATTAGACAAAATGAATGATACTAATTGATATAGGTAATGTTGGATATTCTGTCAGATGATATTATTTGGCGAGTATTTCGATATCTTGATGTAAAAAGTAGAATTCAACTTGCTGCTATCAATTCCGCCTTCTATAAATTACTCAATAAGATATTGCAATCATATATAGTATTTACACTGTTGATAAAATAATCTCCATTTTTTAAAAATTTTTTTTGAATTCTTAAAATTTTTAAATGGCTAATTTTACTATATATCAATTCTCTATTAATTTTAATTAATTAAGAGAAGTTATTACTTTGATATTTCAATTTCATAATAATTAAAACAATTCAATATCAAAAAAGATTGTCACGAGAAGAGTGATGCAATGATATTAGCAACTGATTTAACAATTTAGAACTTTAAAAATTCGATCATTCTTTAAATTACTGTAAGAAACAAGGAAGAGAAATTAATTGCTTAAAAGTTGCAAAATTAAAAAGCAAGGATTAAAAGTTAAAAGCGATAATTGAAATTTTAGTGGGAAGATGTATTGTGTTGTTCGATTCACTTCAATGATATCATTTTATCCGGCGAAGGTTTCATAATAGAAATTGAAAATCAAAATTCAGTTAGTTATTATGTTTATTATACTTTGAACAAAGAAAGCAGGAATTAAATAGTAACTATAAATTCCTGAATTATACTGAACTAAACCAAAGATGAATGACTTTATGAAAACAGAAAAAGAGTAGAATGAAAGTTAAAAAGTTCCTCCTTCCTCATTATTTAATTTCAAACCTACCTGTAATCCTGATCCTGATCCATTTCAATGTGATACTGAAAGAAGAGTAGGAGTGGTATAAAGAAGGAAATCCGGAATAGTTTTCATTTCATTTCGGAAATAAGCGAATAAAGATTGCATAAAGAATTTCATAATCTTATTTAAGTTGTATTTGTAGAAATCATTGATAGCACCGCTCCTGAAACATTGTCCATTAATTCGGAAATTAGCAATTCATGATGAACGTGCACTGTGTAATGTAAATAATAGTGTATTGGAAAATTTGATGAATATTGATGAACTTCACATTTCCAGTAACCTTTTCGCTGAGTAAGTAATTTATTTGACCAATCGATAGTCAACAACACTTCTGACCAATGAGTAGAAACATATTACGAAAGATAATCAAAAGATATTTTGAAAGATTAAAATTTTGATCACAATTATTTCGAATAAATTATGTAGTATGAACTATAAATAACGATTTTCAATGATATCAAACATGAAAAATTATTTCTGAAATTTCAATTTATCAATAGGCAACACAATTTATATTTCATTTCGAATCGACTCTAACTCTGATAATAGAATGAGGAAAGATATTAAATACAATTATTGCAAATTTCATTACCATATTTCGTTGGACTGATTATCAATAAATACTTTTGTACATATTATCAGTAATTGTTTTGTACGTATTATCAATAGATGTTCTTCAAAAATTTTCACAATACAAAATATGAGTCTAATGAAAGAGAGAGAGAGAGAGAGATCAACCAAGAAAGAATTTCTTTTTTAAAGAAATAAATATTTAGGAGTCAATATGATCCACTAATTAAATCACTATTTTCATTTTCAAAATTACACCTCCTTCATATACAACAACGATATAATGAAGATAAATGTCATCGGAATATCATAAATGAACGACAGGTGGAACAGCTTACTTCAACATCACTTAGTAATATCAAACTACAGGTGTGATAAAATTGATCAATTTAAATCGATGTATGAGTAATTTCATGCAAAAAATTTTGGTTTAAATAGAATTTATCAACATTTTTTGTTTTATTCGTATATGATGAAAAGTATATTGAATGACTATCTTAGATAATAATTTGCAGGGTGTTGTAATAACAGGATCAGTGTTAAAGTTGCTTTGTTTGAAATATCAGAAAACACTAGAAAAGTTATGCTTGTTAGGTGCTCTTGTACCAACTCAGGATGTATTTACTTGCTTTCAAGCTATAAGTAAGCTTTGATTAATATTACTGCAAAAAAATCCTCTCATTATTTTACCATGATAAGGTTTAAAATTATTTAGTAAAGTAATATTTTAATGCTTCAACTGAACTGTTATTATTTTTGCAGATAGTTTGGATCGTTTAATTTGTCTAACATTGGCTCCATCGTTGTATTCGATTAGTACCACCAATAAGGCATTTTTTAAAACTTATCCCTCACTGAAGAATTGTAAAATGTTAAAATTGGTGGCAGCTTATGTATCAAGACCAGATATATCACAATTGAAACTATTACTTCAACAAATACTTCCTTCTAACGTTGAGCAATTAATACTTTATGATGAAAGCTATCGATCAGCTTATCAAATTGAGAAAGAACCGAAAGAACTGAAATGCAAGGTTCTAACAACATCAGCAATATAATTATCTAAAATTGGCTTTTAAAAAAGAATTCTAAATGAAAGGATTAGATAAAGGATAAATTTCTAACCTATATCTTATCTCATGATACGTCTCATGATACGATGATTCTTTCTCGAAATTTTAATCTAACCCGAACATCAACTCTGAAGTGCAAAAATTAAAAATGAACTGATTATTGATTTGACTCTGAAATACTTCTGCGTTATTAGAATTAGGTTGCTTACTTTACCATATTTTTTTTTAATGCTATGCATAATTCAGCAATGTTTATTCAGATTCAATTTTGTCGTGATGATAATATAATCATTGATAGCTATTGGATGAATGGTAAAAGTGAACTAATAACGCATACATTATGGAAACCACCTTACAAAATCAATACTTTTTTGCCAGCAATAGTTTTGCTTTTTCCATATTAAAATTTAAATGAAAAAAAAAACATGAAATATGATATACCTTACTAAATTACTTTGATTATCCTCAACTTGAAGACAGATAAACCATACAAAATGCAATATCTGTTTGTTTATAACAAGAAGCATACATATGAAATGATGTGATATGATGTACTGGAAGTTTGTATCATTTTCGATATTTAGTTTCCAGAATGGTATTGTGTATTGAGCGAAGTTATGGAAACAGCAGTGATCAGTGAATATTCATGCAGCAGCACTTCGTCGAACATCAGTACAGCTCAGAATATGAATATCTCGCAAATTGACGAATGCACTTGTACGAATCATTCTACATCATGTAAGCTTAATTCTATCAGAATTCATAGTTGAAATTAGTAGCAGCAAGAAAAATGTAACAGAGACTTGAATATTGATGAATCTCTCTTCTAAATTTAAGCCTCACTTTACGACACTGCAACCTGTTACGCTCTACCTGTTACAGTGTTGTAAAGTGAGGCTTAAATTTAGAAGAGAGAATACTCCAAAATATTTATTCATCTTTGAAATTTTATATAATATAAGAAGAAATGTATAAGAAAACCTAATAGAGAATGTTGATTTCTAAAGAACACGTTACATATAAATAAGCTAACTGTCAAGTAATTTCAATCGATTTATAAAGTCGTGTTGTCCAAGCTTAAAAAAAAATTTTTTGTAAGAAGATACTACTTTAATTGCAGGTACTGATGGAAATGAAGAAACCTTATACTCAATGCAGAACAATACATTGCAAAGTTTGTTTGAGACTGCATTCTAACATTTCGATCTGATGTATGAAATTCTCGAATACCGCAAAGATCGATAATTTGTTGACACTGCAGAGAAAATTTATAAATTTTTACAAGAAGACTCTACTTCATTAATTGCAGGTACTGATGGAAACGAAGAAACCTTATACTCAATGCAGAACAATACATTGCAAAGTTTGTTTGAGACTGCATTCTAACATTTCGATCTGATGTATGAAATGCTAACTTTGAATTCGCACAGCAGAAATCATGATAAATAGTTGAAAATAATCTCTTTCAGATATAAATGGATGAATTTAAAAATTCTGGATTTCTGAAAGAGAAGTTCGTGTTCCGTGATGACAACATATGACTTAGTGTATTGCAATCTCTTAAAATACAAAAATAAAACATATGCATGTAAATATTAAAAATTGTTTTGATGATTTTCTAATCCACAAAACATTAAAAATCGAGCTATTGAACGTTATCGAACAAATTAAAATCACAGTAAGACATATTTCTCATCTTGCAATAAATCATTATCTAAAATTCATAAAATTTTGTAATTGGATATTTCACAGCACTTTCATATTAGAATTAGCAACCTAAATAGTTATGTATTATATTTTAACTCATATATTTTTTTAAATATATTTCAAATATATGTGCTTGAAAAAAATCATTTGGAGCGCAAAAAATAGTACAGAATAATTAGAAATGCTAGAGATTTGATTTACGCATACCGCTCTTTCTGCTCAGAAATAAATTACCCGGAAGTGTAATAAATCTTATTCACAAGGTAACAACCATCCTTCCCGTAGCTTAATTTGGGAGGCAGCAAGAGAGCATTTTGTTAAAAGTAATAATAATCTGTAATGTTCAACTCATCTTATTTTCCATCTTCTTACAATTGAGTGACCAAACTACCTATCCAGTCACCGTCAGTGACCTGTGACCCACTGCTATTCTTCCACCATATTCACAATACATCTCTATTTCATATAAAATACTGCAAGTGCTGTTATATTGTGCTTGGATATCAGAACGATCGATTGTTCTCAGTAATTACTGCCGAAGATATATGTTATAATTCGAGCAGACAATGGGTGTGTCGAAATAGTGTGTGTGACTGTTGGAGAGAGTGAGAATGGTACTGTGTTAGTGATTGGCATACCTAAATAACGGTTTACATCGGGGCGAAGCGGGATGGTAAGGAAAGAGGACGCCGGTTACAATGTCATTTACAAGTGTTAGAGTATCTCTGGTTTATCATGAACTTTTATATGATTTTGAGTGGTTTGTGGACCTTATTGTTTTAGCGGATGTTTATGACATGACAGTTTGATTTCTTTATTTGTTTTTTCTGTTATCTTGCACATCTTAGTTCAATTTGCAAACATAGCACCACATATATATTGGCAAAATTATCTACAAAATATGAAGAAAAAAAAGGAGCTCAACGGGTAGAAACACTTGCTACAAATTCCCTGTACATCCTATTTTCTTTTTAAGGGCTAATTTCCCATCTCTTATTATTACTCACAAAGCTGAAGAAGAGATTTGTAATTGTATACCATTCAGCAAATTATGATTTGATCTTCCAGGAAGGAAATTCAATTTTTGTGTATGAGTAATTTTGCCAACATATGTGCTGTGCTATGTTTGCATAGCAACAAACCTGAGAACTATCATCGATGTTCGGATGAAAAAAGTGAGGGGATTGCTTACTAGTCCCTGATCGATAATATATGTGAGATCCCTACTAGGTATTTTGAAAATAAGCCGAGTCAGAAAACTGCAGTATAAACCGAACTGATGATTCATTGTTATGAATCTGAGAGCAGTTCTACTCTGAATTATAGCTGCGACTTTCACTTTTACCGCACCATAGAATCGTTTCCAACTTTCCACTTCACAATATTGAAGTTTGTCTACGTTATGTGTTATAACGCTTTTGTTGCAGCATTTCAATCATGGTTATTACACAATCTGTGCAGGTATTTGGAAGGAAGAAGACCGCTACTGCTGTTGCTTATTGTAAGAAAGGACGCGGTCTTATCAAGGTATTCCTTTTCTTTTTTTCATATTCCTACAGTCCCTTCGAAATATTTGGTTTATTTAGCTAAAAAGAATCTAATACTATCTGGAATTTTCATAACTTCGTGGAGTTTTTTCCATCACTTTCTGATCAGCTTGTGTTTTAGGTAAACGGACGTCCTTTGGAGCACATACAGCCAGAAATTTTGCGCATCAAACTTCAGGTATATTGCTTCTACTAGATGAAGACTCGATCATTCAGAGTCCGAACATTAAGCAAATTAAGAGAATAGTTTGCTTATATTGTTCGGACTGCGAAAAGCTGAAAACCTAATTTTATTTTCTCATCTTTCCTGTTACTTCTACACTCCTCATTTATAATTTATTCAGTAAAGATTTTTCTAGTGGTTTGATATTTCAAGAATTTTTTCTTTCAGGAACCACTGTTAATATTGGGCAAGGAACGTTATCAAGATGTAGATATAAGAGTGAGGGTAAATGGTGGTGGACATGTCGCTCAGGTTATTTTCATTTGGTTTTTCGAATGTGAAAGAGGGCAGACTTGTGGGTATCGGCGGACGTGTCGTATTGAACTTCACTGATTTTTGTAGATTCAAAATCACATGGGCGTGTTTGTCTTAATGACGCATATGACCTCATAATCCATGGAAGTACATAAGTAGACTTCCTTGATTGCATCCAGTTTTAACGCATTTTAACAGCTTTCATTTCTACCACAGCTTTTTGTCTTTTTCGTCCTTGAAATTGTCCAAGTATAACGCCATTGCAAGCTTTATACCACGTGCTGCTAAATGATTATCTCTGGAAAATTGTTAGATGTGGTTGAATTATTTTTTAGTATTAGTTATACTTCCACTTTATAATGTTACAAGCTTCGCAATTTTGTGACAATGTTGTAAAAAAAAGATGGATAGCGATTCCTCAGTATTTCGCTGTTACTTTAATGATATTTGTCAGTGATAGCTATGAATGAGTTAGATAAATCTCAAATTATTTCTGATAAACTGAATCTTTGCAGATTTATGCAGTTCGACAAGCGTTAGCGAAAGCCATCGTTGCTTATTATCAGAAGTTCGTTGATGAACAAAGTAAGAAAGAGCTTAAAGAACAGCTCGTTTCGTATGATCGTAATTTGTTGGTTGCAGATCCTCGACGACGGGAACCGAAAAAATTCGGTGGCCCTGGTGCAAGAGCTCGGTACCAGAAATCATACCGTTGAAAACGGATTTTGTTTCGTTAATACTTTTTTTTTCTTTTTTGCAATGAATAAATTGGTGAGTATTTGTGATTTGTCGCATGAGCACTTATATAACAAATGGCTTCCTTTCCAAAAGTTATAAATCGACTAAATTCTCTTTGGTTGTTCGCCTGAGAACAGGATAAGTCGAACACAAGGTCACTGTATTGACAAATGTAATATCTCATCTAAAATAGTATTCGGCTATGTCGCAACTGACGATCAAACTAATAAAAAAATGGGAAGGTAAATCTTCCTAATCTCAATCGTGAGATCAGAGAAAGAAGAACCACAAGGAACTCAGTGGGATAACGAATTCTGCTGTAGTCTAAGAGTGATTTTGAGAAAATTTGCCGGATGTGATCGCATTATCAAAAAAGAGTAAATACGAGTGATTACTATGGTTGGGTTAGAGTTCCTGCAGGGCGGGGGGGTATATATATACATAAATATAGGGCTTAAACTAGATGTTTTTTCCAACATAGAACTGAAATTATTTTGTGGCGTTTCGGTGCAGCCTTTCATCTCTGCTATAAATTTTTCTAAGAAATGAGGATTGTTAATGCATAAGACCAATTTTAGGCTTATATAATGAATTAGATGCTATGTAATCACGGAAAACAATTAGACATGGATCGTTTCAGCAAACAACAAAAGGTTCTGTAAAGTATTACGTAAGGAATAAGTAAGGTGAGGAATAGTATATTGACCTTTTCATCTCTTATTCCGAATAATTACCAATTTAATGCCATAATTCATTTACATTAACTATTGGAAGAATCAATCCTACTAAAATTTAGTACCATTGAATTTTTATTTGCTTTGAAAATATACTTTGCAGTATGAAGATTTATAATAGGTACAGTGGAGCGAATGATCAGAGAGCGAAGTACAAAAGAAATACAACGGGTTCTATTTTTTTAATAATTTTAAGCAAGTCTTTGAAGAGTTCACTATAGAAATTTCGGTTCAATCAACTGGATATATCTGACATACAAATTTACAAAATACAAAACAAATCTGTCATTCCTATCGGTCCAGTGAATAGTACAGCTGGTTATCACATCATTGAAATTATTAGGCTAAGCACAACCTTCCTAATCAATGAACCATTGCAATAAATATGACTTCCTGTGAGGAAATGTCGAAAACTCGAGAGGGTCTTCCTTTCCTCTTCTATTATGGATTTTCTGCTTTGGTAGTAAGTTCAGAAACAATGACTAGTTGTTAAATAAGTCAAAAAAATCGGACATAACCGCCGAGATATCAATATTCGCCTTTATAGCTTGCAAAATGGATATTTTCGACTCTCCATTTTTTATGTGTGTGTATGTTCATCGACTTTAAGATCGATAGTGGATCGCAAGCATTACAATTAATCTCTATAAGTTTGTAAAAAACTCCATCACCTCCAACTCCATCTCTCCGGAAACAGTCGCGAGATATACTTCAAAATTACTACAAAATTTTAATGCTGCATGCAAGAGTACCATTTGTGAGATTCAAACCTGTGAAATTTTCAGATAACAAATAGCGGGCAACAATGAACAGAAAAAAAATATATTCACATATGAAATTGAAAGCTGAAAACATTATTCCTAAGCCTAAAAGCGACGGAATGTTAAACGAGAAACATCTCAATCATATAGAAACTTACAAAGGTGGTGGAATGTTTCCAACCAGGATGACATTTTTTGACTGACCCGTACAATAAAGCGAACGATCTATACAGGAAATTTCGTCTTTATAGACGTCTAAACACATTTTACAGAGGGGATATAAATTAACACTTGTATTTTAAAATCCTGGTTATCAGGCAATGTGTAGTTCATATAATTCGACAATTAGGAGATAAACTGCGTAGTCCAAATAAAAAAAATTGTCACATAAACAAGCAGTGAGTCCAAATATCTGAGCAAAGTGGGCCGAAAAAAAAGAATAATGAGAGACCTTATCCGGTTCTGATGAAAGCGCACAGAAATGCATCACTACACTTGAGAAATGCATTGCTTCACCAACAATAAGCTAGCGTTGCAATTTCCTTATATGAAAAACTAATGCTGCAACTTCTTAAGATCAAATATTTACAATAATAAGACACTATGAAATTCTGAAATTCAATGAAATATTATGGTGATGTGGCAATAAAAATCAGCTGGTTTACACGCTTTCTGCATCCCCATCTTCATTCTCTTCAAAATCACTGTGAGCTTCAAAGCCAGCACTTAACTCACCTACTTCTTCAATAAACAATTCATTCAATTCTTGATGGGATTCAAAAAAGTTATGAACTTCATCATCATCCATCATCAATACTTGCGCCTCATCATCATCTTCATCGGGCATTACCCAAAATTCAGCTTCTTCGTCAAAGTCGAACATTGGGTCAAACTGAAAGGATAGAAGTCATAACAAATCATAGATCTTCTAAGTTAACTAGATCCGTCCATCCAAACATTAATTTCTTTAGTCAAATTATCTAATGAATATTTGGAAATGACAAACTTGAAACTGAAAACATTTTTTAGATCAAGGTGGTCCTATCATATAAGCTTATAATGCCACAGAAGATTAACCTATAAAGAACCTACCAACAGCATCGGATGTTGCCTCTCAATAAATTCACGAATAAATGGATCATTTTCTATTTCCCCCATCAATTCATGAACATCAGCTCCTGATCCACCATGCGCCTCATCCATATGAGCATAAATTTCGTTGCTTTCTTTAGCCTGTAGCGTTCACATCAGAATATATGGAAAGAGAACAATCAAATAAAGAGCAAATCACTGTTTCCAGAATAATTAACATATGTAAGCATATGGCGACTCACAGAAAACATGCAAATCCAGCAAAAGTGTTGTTTGCATCGCGAGCACTGCATGTGATTGCATCCTCCGAATTTTTCAATAACAGTTTGGCAGTTTGTGTTTGGACATATTCGTCGTCCTGCTTGATCCTCTCTAAATTGATATAGTGGTAGCCAAAGAAATCTTTTTTAGGATAAGCACTGTCAACAAATATCTAACAAAAGCTATAAAGATTTGTGGAATTCGTAAGATTTTTTTACTGCTAAGGATCAGTACTACAAGAACGCATTCACACCTTTAGGCGGTAATAGCAAAACTATACAACATTAAGCACCATCTCTTAAAAAGACTCATGAAAGAAACATCACAATGTTATCTTTCAAGTTCTTCTTAATTATGATTTATTATGTTGTCAATGACTGCTACTATATTCTTTCCTTTCTATTTGTGTTTCAATTTCAATTTCGCTAAGTTCTTTCACCTCATTTGACAATAATATTTCATCATTTAATTACCACTTTAAATACAATTTCTCATTTTCAAACATGTCAATGATTAGAACATCCCGAAGTTATAATATATCTCTAGGTCGATAAAAAAAAAATACCCTCGAAACCGGAAAAATTAGCGTATGAAAAATAAAATGAAACTTGCTGTATCCATTTCCTCACTGATTCATCAGCATCAATTCTTAGTCGTGCATATTCTTCACATGTTATTGATTCGTGATCTTCCTTTCCACATTTGGTGCATTGTATACGACCACATAATCTACACTGACCCAAACCAGCATTGGCAGTGACCTTATATATTTGTTTTGAAAATTATTGGAGAAAAATGTTAAAATAATCTAAAAAGTTTTAACAATGTAATAATCTATCGCAAAAAGCCAAAAAATGTAAGAATAATTAGCATGCGAATAACTAACATGATGCAATCCTCGGCAATCAGGAGTTAGGCAATGTTTATATAGGTCTCCATGACGTTCAATAAAACAAGCAAGAGATGAATCTGATAATGACTGTAATCTTTGAGGATCTTCATCTCCATTCCGATCTAGGTCTCCAAGCACAAGAATCTCCATATCCAACCACGTGAATGGTTTCTCACAAGCAACGCAAACAATCGGGAAGTCGCGCATTTCAAATGATGCTTTCAGCTGAATTAACTGAGCATATAAAAAGAGATCAAACGCAGTAATAGCAAGCAAGGACTTGGAAAGCCACTGCTAATATTTAAATTAAAATAATTATCATGCTAGATGAAAGTCACAATAATTGCTATTAATAGATTTGTAAATTATGCAAGCAGGAGATAAAGGAAGGCAGTACGATGAATGATAAGAAAGTTAAATAACAATGATGTACCGCCATTTTTCATTGACGAAACATGGAATGTGCCCTGAAGTATTAACTTTAAAATATTCAGAAAACAATTTACTTGCATGTTTAAACACGATTTACAGGCATAATGTCCACATGCTTCCAGACAGTAGCTTTCCAAATCAGCAGGACAAAGGCAAACGACACATTCTGGTATTCCGATTTCACTGAAGGTAGTTTCTGACGACTCTCTCGACCCAATGCTATCAGAAATAGAATGGAGCATGTTCTGAAATGACATAAGGATAATGAACTAATTTCGATATACAAAATTATACAAAATTTTATAAAATGAAAAAACTTGAGTAGAATGCAACATTTCATATTTTATATTGCTTTATATTATAACAGATTTCCTCCACAGCATTTTCACACTTTTTTAAAGTAAGGGATTTAATTCCAACAAATAAATTTGATTTTAGTGTTAAAAAACATAACCAAGAACTAAGCTAGTCTTAAGTTTTAATAAGCTCGTAAAAAAATGCACGAATATTTTAAACTTCTGATTCAAACAATTTTGCTCACTATATTAGGAAATTATGAGTTTCAGTTCATAAAGACAGAAATTTTTTGAAGAACCGACTAAAAGTTCTTGGAATTGAGCTTCTTTGCCAACGAATAATAGTTCGCGCTTGATAATGTTAGCATCTAAATGTATACCACAACCGAGCTTCTTCTCCAGTGAATAAAGATCATAATTATTTTGCGCTAGGAGAGCTTTCAATGTTCCTGGTTTATAATTCGGAGTTTGCACAATCAAAATCTTACTGATGTCTGCATCCAACCTAGAACATATGCAATCCAAATAAATAAAGAAAAATTTATAAAATCCAGCAACAATTCAGACAGCTATAATAGTTAATATTCATTTACATGAAATTCCCTACTGAACAAATATTTCCAGAAAACAATATCCTAGCTTCAATTACTTCTAATATTCTACTGTTCCATTGCCGCATTATATAAGAAAGTTAATCGAAGCGAGGCAGAAGAGAACATGTTAAAAGTTGATTACCATTCTCGTAAAAAACGTTTGATTTCTACTTTAGTCTTTTCAATATTCGAAACACTCCCTTGGATTTTCACTTCCATTTTATAAGGCGATGTGTTTATGAGTATTTCATGCCTTAATGACAAATCGCGCAGAAAATCCCGACCAACCCTAAAAATTATAATGCACGCTTAGTATTTTTAATGATGGACTGATCGATCATGGTGTTCACACAATACTTGACAATTCACATCAGAATGTGCGTAAATAAAAACTTTCGTGCTGACACATGTATCAGAAAGAGATCTCTGATTTCCAGAAATTGCGCCGTTATTACTTTTTGATTCTAAGAAAACAAAACAAGGTCACTAACTTTGTAAGCAGCCGATGACAAGGTAATTCTACGTCGCCTACTTTCTCACCATCTCTACATCTGATTGTATATCCGTCAATTACCTTGCCAATCGCAGCTTTAACTTCGTTTACGGAACTAAAATAAATATTTAGCATGAATCATAACCTTAAAAAAGCAAAAACATGATTCAAAAGAATAGTGTAATTTGTTAAAAAAAATCAAAAAAATGAGGAACTTGCTTGAAGTTTTCTCCAGAAATCGAAAGATAATGTATTTTGTTACACGTATCGTTGTGATGCTCAAAATTAATATGCTCATGATCGATTCTATCATAAATATCTTTTAAATCATCAAAAATGGCATTGAAGAGAATTATCGGAACTTTCATTTGGTAATGAAACATCTCTTGCACATGGGCCTGAAATAACAGCGATAAATTCCATCAATATTGCCAGTTTAGCACAAACATTACAAAGTAATTAAGCGATTACCTCATAAAGTAGTGGTATTTCATACCTGAATATTTTAGATTAGTTGAAATTAATGTGGATCTTAACAACATGCAGATTATCGCACTGAGTTTAGTGATTGCGAAAATTTAACTGCTAGAATGATATGTAAAAAAAGACACAGAAATTGAGAAAGCAAACTTCGTGCATGCAGTCTACTGGCCCCATTTCCAAAGTTGTTCCATTTTCTGCCGCGTCTTTTAATGCTTTACCCACTTGTATCCCAAGATTCATATCATAAAAAAGAACAAATGCGACAAATTCAATTTCGGAATTATGTTTCGGTGCGCGTATCTTAACCTCGAATGGATAACCATTATTGCCTACTGAAATGTTAATACCACTACTTAAACGATGATTATTATCTTCAATCATGAATACTAACAAAATAACATACATTCCAATATGATTCCAATATACTATAGACAGGGAAACGAGAGATATATGTGTTATATATAGGAAAAAAAGTGTATGATGCTAATTTTTTAAATAAAACCTGGAACATCAAATTTGATGAACTTTTGAGAACTCATTTTTCTTTTTTTAAAAGAGAGTTATTTATTTTTAACTAACACAGATTTTCGTTCATTTTAGTCTATTAAAAGAAGTATTGGAGTAATACCTGCATTCTTCGCCACCCTTACAATATAGTCAGAAATTTGTCGAGAAAGCGCCTCCAGAGCTCTGAAAAAAAAAAGGTTAAAAAACACTAACGAGACTGTATAATTGTAATAGGTTAACTAAACGTACTTTTCATCTTCAACAGGATACTTCTTCTTTCGTATCACAAATACTTCATCGAATTCTATACTATAGCTAGTCAGCAGTGGTTTCAAAATGTGGAGCAATCGTTTGTCGTCAATATTTAATGGAAGAGACTGCAAGTTTATCTAAAACAAAGAAATCCGACAATCGTATGAAGAATTGTCCCAAGAAATATGCCTTAACTTCAAGAGAATAATAAAATTACAAATGTTTTCCAAGCTAAAACACACCTTGTACAAATCGTCGACGCTTATATTCGGATCTCTCTCCTATAAAAATAGTAGTTATTAAACAAATGAACAATGTGAAGAGACAAGAAATATTTACCATCAAATCTTCCGAAAAAATTGAAGGGCGAAAATGCCCCAAATGTTTTGAAATCACGTTGAAAGCGTATAACCTCCGGTCGAAATCACGAGATTTCAACTAAAAAAATGTAACATTTTTCAAAACGCCATCATTTTAAATCTATCTGATATAATCAATTTAAATTAATTTTTTCAATAAACAATTCAAAGGGATCTGAGAAGAGCTCCAAAATATTAATTCCATTTCAAATATCATTGGAGAGCAAATATAATTGGTTTGAATGAAAAATGATAAATTATCAAAATCTTTTATTAAAGAATAATCACAATGAAGATGAGGGCATAAGCAACCTTTATTTGACCATGACCACAACTGGGTCTACGCCACCACCTAATCAGTAATCGATAAGCAGATGGATGATAATAACTGCGCCCTTTGCCCAGATATTTTCGATAAAAACGAGGCTAAAGTAAAAATTTCAAAAGTCAATGAAAAAGCAACGCAGAGAATGATTAAAAGAATTTGATACAGCTTGATAATTAAAACAGCTTGGCTATATGAACGACAATCTAACTGCACTGAAATTACCGAGAAAGTTGAATGAGCGAACAAAAACAAACTTCAATATTGAGATCGCAATGGTTTTCGTTGTTATAAATAAAAGCACGATTAGCAACTTCCTTATTTTCCATCCTAATTAAGCACGAATGTCCAATCTTCTTTTGATAGTTTTCGCCAAAAGTCACGAATTCCGTAATTTTCCCAAACTGTATGAATTTGGTTATAGGTAAACATTGTTTTCTCATTCAGTAGCGAATACACAAAATGAACGGTGCTCATTATGTAAAAGAGCATAGCGACCGCAGATCTATGCATTTTTCCTCAAAACCAACAGAATACCATTTAGAATCGATACTCGTTAAGGTAGCATTCTTTTTGACTAAACTTTTTGGTGATGTAAAAAAATCAGTATGTTTTACTTAAGTTACATCATCCATTACAGGGAAGAATAAAGCAAACATTCGTCCAATTTATGAAGAACAAACCCTGCCGAAGTACTCTTCTAATCTCATCCTATGCTCAACATCGTGTGCCCAATTAATGACACTTCGTCCAACGTACATACTGCAGAATTCACCAGGCATTAGAATCTCAAGTGGTGTACCGCTGCCAGACATGTGCAACTAAAAGTGAGAATTTATGGAATACAGTTTCAATTTGTAGTTAAAAATATCATGAAAATATCATGAAAAGTTCAGAAACTTAGTTTGCATAATGATCGTAACTGCACGGCAATGAAGATATTTTTTAAAGTTGATTCCTCATCAACAATTATAGGCAAAAAAGTAATACTGACTACATAATCTGCATGCGCTATGGGTACTTCCCTCGTTTTTCTGCAAAGTACCTCCACTTTTTCTTCTATAATCCGTTCAACAAATGCCTTCAACTGAAAATGATTCTACAATTAAAAATAGCCTGCTAAATCAAGAAATGTTCACGTTCCTTCCAGAGAACAAATTTATACCTCACGAAACTCACAGCATTACTTTCCTTATCAACATTGGAACCACAGTTTTTTTTTAAAATATTTCATTACATTTGGCAAATAAATTTCATACCTTTGGAAGATTTTTAACTGAAACATAAATCTGAAGTCTGTTGTATGGGTCATCGAATCTCTTCTTCAAAATACATTCCATTCCCACCTAAAAAAAATTTACTGCAATGACGAAGATTTCAATTATTGATTATCTCAATACCTAATTCTAATTCTATTTTGATATTGCGATTTAAACAGGAAAATCTTTCTTATTCTTTTCAACAGTAAATATACAAAAATAATGGCCCATCTGTCAACTTTTATTTCAAATGAAAGTTGAGAATGCATGTAATGCTCTGGGGATGCATGCAATGCTCTGTGCTCCTTCCCAATAAAAGTTTATATGTATACCTCCTGCTGAAGAATATCCCTGTGTGCCATAATCCATTTTTTTGTAACAGTTCCACATTTAATATCATACGGCACTAACTTATTCTGAAACAAATCCCAAACATCCTTTTACGAAATTCATTAATAAATCACAGAGATTCGCCGCATGGCAAAATTTTCAAAATATTAACAGTACAGAGGATAGTATTACTAAGATCGAAATGTAGCAATATTAAATATTTGCAAGATTGACGGAATGCACTTTAAAAGAGTTACTAAAGCGACAACAAATTTTTAGATATGAATTTTTTGAAAGAGGTAGAAAAAAAAACACAGTAATGAAGAATGTATGCCTTCTTTTCCAATTTTATGTTTTATTTGATAAAAAAGTTGTGTATTCTATGATCACAACATACCTTTCTTTCCTCTTCCAACACATTTTGATCAATTTCATGTAACCAAGAAGAATCCGCTGAGCACACATTAAATACAAAATCATTTGACGTACAGAGCGAACATTCATAAACAATAAATTCGGGAGTTATATCGCTGTATTTCAAAGCTGATGACGGATGAATCTGTAAGATTAGAACTATCATCGTAAACTGAAATTAGCACGTCTACCATATTAACTTGAGATTGTTGTCAAAAGTACATTTCATAAGACAAATTTAGAATAGGAAAACATTTAAAAGACCCATGAATTTCGCATGCTTGAAAGTGATAGTATATTCACGAATTCGCACATCTCTTCCCAACATTCCTAGCTTGTTAGAGGTTTTATATCAAATCTAGAATATACTGTAACATACGAAGACGTATTTTTTCTCATTAAAATCATAATATCCACGCTCCGGCAGGCCGGAATATATTGCCAAATTACTTCCAAAGGCTCGACAGAAAAGATAGGGAATAATTGCCCGTGCTTTCAAAATATCAATCTTCTTTACATCCGTATTAACACCCTAAATTAAATAATTTAATAGAGACTGTAGAAAACTATACATATGAATCTACTCCACAATAGAGAAGACGCAAAAAATATGCAAATCGTCAGCCAATAAATTAGAAATTCAACAATAATTTGCAAAACAGAAAAAAAATGAGATAAACACACTCACTGTAAGATGAGAAATAATTTTGCAGATCTTATGGGCAATGTCAAACACAGATTTCATGCGCCTCGAATTTACATAATTCTTAAGGCACCAATGACTGGATCGATTTTTTGGTGTTCTTATGTGTTGCAAGAATACCTAAAGAATAATTTATATTTCCAATAAAATAAACCAGCCATTGAAAACACCAGCTTTAGCAAACTGATAAGCTATTATCATGTCAACACATCATAATAAATAGTTGCTTCATCCTTTATCTGAATGATAGTAAGTAATTACTAGTAGAAATAAAACAGGAAAAGGAAATTAATAAAATCAATTCAGCAACGCTACAAAATTTAAATCTCTTTTAAAAATTTTTTAAGATTCGCTCGAACTAATTCATTACTTATGCATCAAAAATTTAAACTGACCGCTAAATATGTCATTGGATCACCGCTCTCTTCACAAAACGCTAGTTTCTTTTGGTCTGCTAGAATGAATTTCTGAAAGGAAACGATCTAACAATTTTTTCCGCATTAACATGCACAATCTCACACAACAGAAACGATATTCTACTATTGTCTGACAAAATCTCAGTAATATAGAATTGCTATCGTTTATCCGTCCGTCAACGAAAGTAACAATGTTTTTATGACATGAATTAATCTTTCACTAATATAAATAGAAGCGAAGATAAAAATAAGTGCCTTGTTGCACTTAAATGACAACGAAGTATTAATAATTGAAAACAAAATAATAGCGTGGGAAAAGTATGTTGGCAAATATGAAAGGATAACTGCATCATCTATTTTCTTTATTGCTCTACAAATCTTGCAAATGGCATGAAATATATTGATTATGAGGTAAACTGAGAAATTAAAAAATGCAGAATGATGAAGTCATTTTCTATTCGAAAACTTCAAAACATTACGTTTCGTTTGTTTCCACGAACGAAAATCGACCCGACATAAACGCATGCGCAGACGATCGCCGCTTCAGCCACTACGTTGTATTGCACAGAATCCAGAACCATTTTTGCTAGACGTGGCTCTACAGGCAACTGTTTCATATTTTTACCCAGTTGGGTTAGAACTACCATGGTTTCGCGACACTCAATGGCTTTAAGCGACCTGCAATATTTCATTGCACAAATATTTCATTACAGTCGCATTCCTTGAAAATCTGGAAAACCTGTTCTCCAAAAAATTACCTCAAAAGTTCCATCGAATGCATCAAGATGCCTGAATCCGGTTTCTCAATGAAATCAAACTCTGAAGGGTTCATAATACCAGCTGCTATCATATATAACAGCACTTCAGTAAGACCGCTGAGAAGGATATCAGGAACGTTTGTAGATTCCATTTCCTCATACTGCTCTTCCGAGTAAAGACGGTAACAAATCCCTAAGCAAATTCAATCATGGCTGACCATAAAGGTAGTGATAATTTATGTGCACAGGAAAAGTAAGTATTACATTACTCTCTCTTCAAGCTATGCCAATATAAAATTATCTGCTTTCATCTTCCGTAAAAACTAATCAAAACTCATCAGCTGGGACTAATAAGTGATTTTCAAATTTTCTTTTGGTTATGTAAGAAGTTTCGTCATTTCTACCTTAAACACTCATATATAATAGACTCCTTACATCTCTTAACTTGACCCTAAACCCATCGATTAGGAAAAACTGTTTTAACGATAAACTTCAACTCAAGATCTTCAGAAGGGATCATTTCTTACTAGAAAAACCTTCCAAAACCTGGTGCTGTTCTTCCGGCTCTTCCAGCTCGTTGTGTTGCCGCAGATTTTGATATCAAACCTAGTTCTAAAACATTCTTTCGTCTGGCAACGTCAAATTTTTTCACCTAAATGAAAGTAATCATTTGTAAAGTTAGCTACATAGAAACTCAAACAATTGATTCTCCTCTCTTTTTCTCTCTCGAAGTTGCAAATATTTTGTAAGGAAACATAAACAGAATAATATGGTGTACCTTCGCTAAGCCGCAATCTATAATGTATCGAACGCCCGGAATAGTAATTGAAGTTTCACCGATATTTGTTGCAAAAATAACCTGCAAAGAAGTTTCGGAGATAAAAATGACACGCTTGTAGGATAAAAATAACAATGAAACAAGAAAGCCTGCAAAACCTAACAACCTTATGGTGATATGGAGATTTCAAAGGAGCGAAAACTTCAACTCGATCTTCAACTGGCATATTCCCGTATAATGTTACGATTTTCACCTTCACGCTGTGTTTAAGTTCCGTTAGACGCTTGGACAGACGTTCCTCAGCTATCAATGTTTCAAGAGGACTAAAAACACTTCAAGAAAAAAGTGCAGCAAAAATAATACAGAAACAACAAATGCAAAATACCATAATAAATTGAACATTATGACTTCTCAAGAGAATTAAATTACGCAATTACTGTTGATTAAACAAGGCAGCTTCGAGAGACATACCAAATTTTCAAGCTTCAGCTGGTAGCTACTACATATCAACCATAGAACGATATCCATTAACGATATCTAAAGAGCTGAGACAAAAAATATTAAAATTTTGACAATAATAACTGTCGTACTTTGACAAAAAAGCCATAATGTGTGCTGCATGCGTTCCCAAGCTATCTTCCCAAGAACTGTCGTCAAAAGGCTGTTTGTTAGCTTCCCTTTCGCAAATATTTATAACTTTTTCTACTGTTCGGTCGATATAATCCCTCATCAAACTTCTAATTCTGAAAGAAGAAAGAAATAGATATCGAAAAAAGTAGACTAATGAGATGGTAAAATTGAAAATTGTTCTGAACAAATTGTTAAAAATAATCTTGTCAAGAACTAAAAGCCTAGCTATATTTGTGACTGAGAAACCAAAAAAAGGCAGAAACGGAAGTATGATTTATAGAAACCTAGCAGAAATGTCTAGGCGCTGCTTGTGAAATGATGCAAAAAGATAATTTTGAAGACCTAAATCAATTTTCATAACTTCCGCGAAAAATCATTAAACTAACCCCTTGCATCCGTAAACCGGCGGCTCATAACAAATCTTGATGGGGTATTGACGCCCTGAAACTTCTAGTTTTTGTGCATGGAACTCAGCGAAATACTTTAATATCGGCTCTGGATCTATTGTTGCAGAAGATATCACCTGAAATAAGATTTAGTAGACCAGGATTTAAGAAAAGAGAATAAGAAATTCTTGAAAAAACTTATCGTAAAATTTTTGATCAAACTGACCAATTTCATATCTGGCCGCAATCTAAGTACTTTTTTCATCATTGCCAGACACATATCAGTATTGATAGTTCTTTCGTGTACTTCATCAATCATAACGCATCCAAACTGCGACAATCTATCATCCTGCTGTATACAATTCAAAAGATGTTTCTCCGTTACAAAATTTATTTTTGCATTCAAATTAGGTCTCCTGAAACACAGTGACTGATGCAAATAACACGTTATCATCAAAATTAAAAATGAGACAATAAATCTTGATGTGATTGCCTGAATTTTGAAAAAGACATAGCAAGATTATGGTACATTCTAAACAATATATGCCATTCTAACTTTCTTAACCACTATACCATTCGAATGCTCTAAAAAATTATTCTATTCCGAAAAGTGTGAGAGCTTACCCATCTTTATATACGGGAATGTTAACCAAACAGTGGCTACCCAGTGATGTCTCCTCCGCCACTCTCATGGCCAGTTCGCATACAGCTGTCTAAAAAATGTTTATATTTCTTCTTATGAGCAATTTCTTTCAAACTACATCCCTAGAAAGCGATGTAAAGAAGAAACCTTGCGTGGCTGACTGCACAGAATTTTCTGCGAAACGGTAATGATGCCATCGAATACTAAATATTGCGGAATCTGTGTACTTTTACCTGAGCCAGTATCTGCCACAATAAACAATACTTGTCCCTAAATTTGCAATTTAAAATATATTAAATTTGAGAAAAAAGTAGTTGATGAAAATAATCAGGTTATGAGCATTGTTCAGTGAACTGGATTTCAATGACAAAGTATGTTCTTTCCGATAATCATAAACTATTGGAAATTAAAATTTAAATAAATCACGAAATAGAAAAACACATCAACCTGATTACACAGAATGTCCCTGATATCTTTTCTAATGTTATATATCGGCAATCCGCAAACAAAACGTTCTATTTCATGGTCCATAAGTCTAAACCATTAATATTCATTCTTTGATTGTTGTGCTTTGCACAATAATGAACGAAATATAAACGTTGAAAACTGTAGACAAAAATTGATGGCTGCCATAAATAAAAGTCATTTCAATTCAATGTTTTCCATAAGGAAGGTAAAATCTCCTCCTCTTTTCGTAAACTGAGAAACACTAATAAAAAATACCAATTTTGAGATGTTTAGGAAGAAACTGATTAGCTGCAAAAGATTCATTTTATAGCCTATAAATTACTAACTTTGTAATCAAAGTTGAGGCACTCGGTGATTTTTTCAGCATTTGAACATGTTTCGCATGTATCTCGTCAAAAATTTTTATTCTACGTTCTCGTTTTAAGATCTAAATTAGTTATTGATTTGTCAACTTATTTTAAAACTTGGAAAAAAACGAAATCTGTGAAACAGCTTATGAAATGTTCAGTTGCTTACTGCACAACGCATTGCAAATATAAAAATATTAGGAAAAAACTAAAAAAAAAATCACTTCTTTCTCGAAAAAATCACAATCACCGACGCAATTAGGCTCAAATTCCTTAAGTTTCTTCAATCTTCCCGTATCATAAATGAATCTACCACGAGCACGATGTATAGCTTGTTGCCAGGGCGGACACGGGATAAAAGGAATCTGCAATCAGTGTAGTAAGCAAATTCACGTGTGCGCTCGGCAATATTAAAAATTAAAAAATTACAAACCACTTTTCGATTGCCATGATTTACATTACATAACTCATTTATACTTGTCACACTCTCGTTGGAAGCTGAAAAACAAAACGACTGGCAGAATTGGATATGTTTTGTTATTGAATATCATGTATATTAAAATTATTATTTATATGCAATCTACAACCAACAGTACAAAATGAAAAAATTCTGATAAACGGTAATAAGAAACGACCTAACAAATAGAGCAAAAAAATACGTTTCTAGATTATGCCATATCGAAGAAAGAGGCAATTTTCATGATTTATTTCCTTGCTCAAATTCCAATTTCTAATGCAATTAATAACAAGGCCAGTACAAAATTTCACTTCAAGCTTAACCATTTTTTTCATTCTCAGAAAAAACTTACTGGATTCGATTACAACTTGTTTTCTAAACACCGAATCCAAATATTCCGTAGAATAAATATCAAAAATGAAATTAGGAGGTTCGCCATAATCTGCAGTGCTACCATAAAGACAGAAAAAAATCGGTACAGAAATGAAACAAAAAGTTCTTTTCATGTCCTCATTTATGATATCAAAAGTTTAAATTTGAGAGCTATGTAAAAAACCAAGTAATTGGACAATAAATCTTATTCTGAAAGTATATTAATATTTTTACTGTTTTGTAATGGATTCAAGCAAGAGATATAGAAACCTTTTGATGGCCGAGACTGAGCATTACTAATATCAATTTCATGTTCTCCATGGGTTAGAAGAGCAGAACACTTTGTAGTATGAAATAAATAATCAAACATCATATTGTGACAATGTGCATTGGGATTCTTCAAAAATCGAATATTGAAAAAGCGAGAAAAAAGAATATTACTTGTACTGCTTTTGACTAAAATCATTAAATAATAAAGTAGAAGCTTTCTCAAGAAAACTTCAAATCCTCTGATGGTGTAGGAGTTACAAGATGACTAAAGATTAACCTTCAATGAGATAAAAATATCATGAGATAAAAAACAAAAAGAGAACGAGAAAAAGATCTAATGATTTAATTCCTAAATCATAAATCTCCAAGATTTTTCGGAGATAAGTTCAGAATTAGAATCACCATGTATCCATAACTGTGTTCGATATTTGTTAATGGATCAGATTCTGAGATGCTTTCAATGTCATGGCCGTCACAATAGCCATATTCATTAACCTAGAAATACAGTAAACCGTTTCATTTATTTCGCTACAAAAGATGTATGTTACAAATACTGCAATGATTATTTACTGCAAAATAACGAATTATAAGCGGAAAAGCCGTGTAGCTAATTTTTTTTATAGTGAATTCGATTAGGTGAGAAGGCATAAAGTGAATTAAAACAGGGTGGTTTGAAAGTGATTAAATTAAAAGTCAAAAATCTATTTCACTTAGCTAGTTCTTTGTACTACAACAATTTGAGATAAATTTTCTAAAAGACACTTCTTCTACCTTACTGATTGCATCTGTACAGAAATGTTCGACAGCAGAACTCCATTCTCGTATTTGCTCTTCCATTATCTGCAATATCATGACAAATACATATAGAAAAATGGTTAACCATCACAACTCCTTTTCATCTGTTTAAACCGAAATGCATACAAAATGTTCGCAACCTGCTCTACAGATTTGTCCATGTTCTCGCTTTGTTGTTTAAGCTGAAAATTATATGACATATATAGGAGGAATATGAAACATTCAAGACAAAATATGAAAAAATGACAAAAACAGCAATATATTTCTGTAGGCGCTTAAGTAAATAATAACGATAAAAATGTTATAAGACAACAAAAAGCTTACTGAACAAATTCTTACCAATTCCATTTCTTTTATGAAATATGATTGTTGTTGATAAGTGGTTGAATGCTTCACAGTATCTAAGACATAGGGATAATGTATGTTTTTATAAACGAAATGTTGCTGGTAGCAACGACCTTACTGTTATGAAGACAGAGATGTGTTGGTTCCATTTAGTGTGCTCAATCCAATCATAATCCATTCATACATTTAATTTTAACACTTCATAAACCATCATGACAATTCATAAAATATAAAACACGAAGAGGCTATATGTCTAAATCGAGAGATGATTTCGAAGAAAACAATAATGACTGCAATGATGCGATAGCTTATAAATTGATAAAATTGAATGTATGGCAATAGTAGTGATTAAATTGATTTCGAAGAAAGTAGTAATAGCTCCAATAATGCAGTAAAGATAGTAAAAAAACGAAATCGCATGATTTACCATAAGCAGAATCAAGCAATTCATAAAAAATTTCATTACTTTTCAATTTGATTTTTGACTTCAGCATGCCCATCGATTTTTCATCATCCATTTCATCAAATAATACTACCTTCACCCTGCAAATATTAGCAGTTTTTCCGAAAGATCATGAAGCTCCTCAATTTTTTGCTATGTGAGAAATGAAATAGGAAAATTTCGATCAGGGAATGACCGCTATAATTGAAAATTATCAAGAGCATAATTTTTCATTTGTTCGAAATTTGTAATTCAAAACTTTGGACCAATCTTGCTTGAAATAAGAACTGACTGCAAATGCTTTCAACATGTTACTTTAAAATGACACATTTACAGAGATTGTCATTCCACTGATGCTAATATCTCAATTCTTACTGATCAAGTTCCAAGCTCAAAGCAGCATTTAAGAAATCCATTCCATTCCTTATCGACGTCACTAAGGCTAGTCTTTATAAACAATAAGGCCTGTACAAAGCTTTCTTCAGGCTTCATAAGTAAAGAATCAGATTCTAAACTGAATTCTTACTTACTAACTTTCTGATCGTAACATTAAAAAAAAATTTCGCTTATTCCACAAGGTCAATGGAGCTACCCGGCATTTCAATAGCGATTAACTGCAAGATGGTCGGCTGCTTCTCAGCACTCTCCTCCCGAACAAACCATTTTCATCTTTTCTGCACATCACCCTTCTCATTCCTAATTCTCTGTATTCTATCGTCTTCTATGACATGAACTGTAGCGGTGTAAACTTGTTGTTGCTAGATGACGAAGATTCGCATTATTGGAAGGTGGATAAGTTATTTGGAGCCCACGGGGAATGGTAATAGATCCGTTCAGGGTACGGATCTCACCGTCGCTTTGATTGTGCATACGAAAACCCGTGCGGTTTCCATTGAATATTTATAAGAATGTGATCAAAAATGAAACTTGAAAGTTGTTGAATTCTGGAAATTGCATCTTAAATTAACAATTTTCTCTCTTTCTTAGTTTCATATAGTATTAGTAAAGTAACAATTGGACGGTTAAGAGTGGTTATAAAGCATGATATTAAGGTATATTCATATAAAGAAAGATTATAAAGCATGATATTAAGGTGTATTCATGGTTTCACCTAATCATAAGCATTCACTAAAGAATTTGTCAGTGTATAATTCTCATGCTTCTCTATTATTTATGTTAATAGCAACAATGACGTCATTTGTCATAGTATACTGCTGGGTTCTCTGACAGTATATCTTGTGTTTCTTTTTCTCAGGGCCACGTGTTCAGGAGCAAAGAAAGACTCCAATCAACGTAGCGATGTCAACGATAAATAATGCACTTCCTAACAGTCAAGGAGACCATTACGGTTGTTCCGACGAAGTCATTGTTAGTTTTTTCTTTTTTTGATCTCCTCAGTACAGTTATCGCTGGCCTATTTATCTTGACATAAACATGTGAGCAGTCACTTTATATGGCTTAGGTCTAACATGCTATGAGACAATTTCCGTTTCAAATATTTCTTTTAAAAAAAACATGGAAAAAGGTAAAATCGCCGGTATGTCCAAAACATGATAAAAACACATCACAAATCAGTATATAAGTGCCAAATAATATCTTAAAGTATTATGTTCCGTTCTTCATGTCTGTCCATTATTTTTAAAATCTACTAAACCGATAGTGCGAGAAAATGAGTCAACAGCAGACATCTTTTCTTTAGTATGTTTGTAAAAATTAGGACAGCTTTTGTCTATAACAAAAATTGTATTTATCGCAATATTTTTTAAAATGAAATGGCTCAAGTATTTGAGAGTAATTATCAATGTTCTGTTTTTTTGTATATTAAATCAACTTTTGGCCCTATTGACGTATATCGAAGTTCAAAATGTGGCGCAATTCGTGACATTTTATTTATTACAGCCTGAATCGCTTCAGGGCGAATCAACAGCTGAACTTATGGCAGATCTTTCTCTCAGAGAAAGAGAAAAAAATTTGAGTGCAACTTACTTGAACGATAGGCAGTCTGTACTGGAAGTGAGTTGTCGACTTTATATTCAGTTCACATCTAAAACAGTCAGATTCGCTGCAGCGTGCATTATAAAACGAAAAATACTGAAGACGACTATCTTACCGTACTAATATAAATATCATTATCTCTTCTTTTTAAAATTAGCTGGGATGTGGCATACAAAGATTTTTACACTTAACAGTTAAATAACACAAAGCATTTCGGAAATCGCATCGTTTATAAAGATTAAGGTGAAGTTACAGGATATATTTGAACATTCTATTGTATCCTTCACTCAAAGGGAATGTGCGAACACTATGAAACGCTTCATTCACTAAAATGATGATCGTTGAACTGAAAAATCTCTTGATTCGCACATTTAGGCGTACAAATATCTTTGAAGGAACAGAAACATTGTTTTTTACCCACCACCCACTGCAATTCATTTTTACAGAAGTTCATTAGTTGGACAGATCAAGATCAGGTGGATTTCGTGAAAGCTCTTATCCGAAGTATGTGCCATGATCAACACGGACAAATAGATGCATATTTGAAACCTATTTTGCAGCGAGACTTCATTGCCTTTCTACCAGGTTTTGAAAAAAATTTCTATAATATCTCGGAAAAAATGTGAAACTTGTTTCGGAGGTAACACCAAATTAAAAACGTTGTTTTTTTTTGAGGGGGAGGGGAGGCATCCTTCTGTATTGAGGTCTGCGTTATCTGCTTTTGGCTCACTTTTGATATCCTTCTATTATTAAGACCTGGGTTACTTGGTCTTGGCTTCTTTTTGTACTAGCAAAGCTGGAAAAAGTTATAGGTTAGAGTGGATGGCAATATTTTTTATTTTAAAGTTTCGAAAATTAAATTCGGATATCAGAACTGGCGTCTTTATTCACTCTTGTGACCATTATCTTCAGATCGACTAGCAAGGTATGTTTTATCGTTCCTTGATGCTCGTTGGCTGAATTCAAGTGAAAAAGTCAGTCGTACATGGCGACGAATCATATCGCACGGAAAACTGTGGCGCAGGTTGATTGAACGAAACGTTCAGACTGATCCAGTTTGGAAAGGAGTCGTAGATAAACGTGGATGGTAGTTTTTTTGATTTTGAAATTTTAAGATTTTTTTGATTTGGAAATTTTAAGAATGGCTTTGAGTATTGGACCAGTATTTGGCGGATATGGGAAAATTTTTTTCTCATTGATAAGAAGTTTTAGGCGAAACTTCTTATTTGTATCAAAGGAAAAAGCTCACACACTAATATTTCAAGAACTAGGATATTCTCCGAATCTTATCGAACAGCTGAGGTTATTTTATTTTTGTTTTTTAAATTTAAATTACGTATTGAATTCCACATAATGTGATTAAGCTATGAAGAATGACCACTTCATAAATACATTCACAAAAAGTGTTTTATTTATCAGAGAGATAATAGTGTTATAGAACTTACCGTAAATTAGCCATTAATTTCACTTCTATTTGATATGATGATTGCTGCCATTGCTATGTGAGCATACTGGTGGTTTTGAGTGTATAACTTTTTCTGCTATCCATTGTTACATGAATGATATATCCACAATTTCAATGTATTCTAGATCTATAAGTCTCTGTCTGTTGGAAAAAGTTTTATTTATAACAGTAGATCGGGAAAATTTTTTCAGTTAATATTGATTACTCCTATGTTAGTTTTTTAGATTTCGATATAGAAAAAAGGACTTCATTTTTTCTTCAGAAATACAGTTGATTCGTTGGAAGCTCAGCATCATTTCTACAGAAATTTGTATCCCAAGATAAATCGAGATATTGAGTCGCTTAAATCTAATTGGCAAAATGGGCGACATGTATTATCCCGCATTACTTGTCATTCAGAACCAAGTAGAGGTATTGCATCTGTAGCTTTCCATATTATTATGTTACAGTGTTCTATTTGGGATGTCAAAACTGTTATGCATAACATTAAAAATCTGTCGGGAATTCATCTTCATTTCTCGATCATTTCAAATATTTTAAGACGTAGGCTTTAGAGTTCCATTTCCTTTGATGGCAATGAAGGAGTAAGTTGTTTTTTAGGTGTATATTGTCTGCAGTATGACGACGATAAAATAATATCCGGTCTACGAGATCATACAATCAAAATCTGGCAACGAAAGGATTTACAGTGTTCAAAAACTTTGCGTGGACATACTGGTTCGGTGCTCTGTCTGCAGTATGATGACCGAGTCATTATTAGTGGAAGCAGCGACACTACAGTAAGGTATGCAGACG